GCTCCAATTTCCACTTAATGGGCCAACAAACATGTGACGATTGTCATCTCACACACACAGAAACTGCGTGCTCTGTTCCCGGTATCTAACCCCTGGTTTTGCCACTCATACCTGGAGCACTACCCCGCTCCCCCCGGCTGGCTCTGCCTTCCTGGCTTCTCATCTAAACTGACCCACCCCGCCCACCCCGAGGCATACTGTGGTTCTGCCTCCAGAAAACAAAAGCATTAACCTTAGACACAAATAATTTCTCTGGCCTTTGAACCAGATGAAGATTTCCTTACTTCCCTTGGCAGCAGGTTCTGTAAGATCCTTGGGGGTCCTGAGGAGCCTGGGCTGTCATCCTGTGTTCAGCACTGTTCTCCTGGCAGCCTCTGCCTGGAGCCTGTTTTCTTGCCCATCTCACCCACTGGTCTTACCTGATTCAGAAATGTCATCCCAGAACGGAGACTCAAACTCATAGTAACCCTCCTTGATCTTCTCAAAAAGCTTAGACTCAGTTTCTTCGTAGAAAGGGGGATACCCACACAGCCTGCAGTGGGACAGGAAGAAGGGTGCTGCTCAACAACCCTGTACTCCCTGGGCCTGCCTCTCTCCTCCCCCAGCCTCCTCCTGTACTCACAGGTGGACAACAAGGGTCCCAGACCAGTGGTGTGACCAGGACATGGAATGGGACAGATCCCACAAAGTGTTTATGCAGGAGCCAAGGCCTGGAACAGGCAGCCCTAGAAGGCCCCTTAGTACTTTTTTCCCCTAAACCCTGACCACCTCTCCCTGTACTTCCCCTGGGTCTTGGATGCTGCACAAAGTATCTTTGAGAAGGATGGTGGAATGTTCACTTGGTGTAAGTTTCATGAGGGATTTATTTAGGCCGTTTTGTTCACTACTCTGTTCTCCAGCACCTTGGCCAGGGATTGATGCAGAGTAGACAGTCGGTGAATATTTGTTGCGTAAACGAGTGAATGAGAGTAATTATTTCATATAAACGGAGGAAGTACAGAGCTGAACTCACACTGGTTAGGGTAAGTATCTGGTAGCAGGTTACTTTCTGAGCAGCGTTTGCAGCAGGGGAGGAGGAACGCTGGGGAAGAGGTGACGAGCATGTTAGGAAAGGAAGAGGCAGGGGATGTCTGCTGAGGAGTGAAAAGCAGCGGCCCAACCAGACTCATCTAGGCCATTGTTTCGCCTTGGGCTGAGTCACCAGGAGAGAAAACTGGGATGCGGGAACATTAGGTCCATCTGGCTTCCCAGCCCGGCTCTGCCTCTCTCTTTTTCTCTGCTTGCACCACAGTGTGGGACCCACCACACTCACATGCAGTAACAGGGGTGTGGTGCAGGAGCAGGAGTGCCAGGTGGCTGAGCAGAGGGTCA